TGGGGGGCGGGTTCATTCCACTGCAGGGCAACCTGCCACTGCATGTGGCGAATAAACTTTGAACTTGAACTTGAACTTGTGGAATATTAAGTTGCAAGAAAATGTTATTACTGGATTTCCACAAGTGTCTTCCTATCACGGTAACACAGATAAATTAAAAATGAGAATAATACTTCATTATTATTATTATTATTATTATTATTATTATTATTATTATTATTATTATTATTATTTTACAGCATTTGAAACAAACTTAGCATCTGTGACAAAACCAAACTAATGTGTATGCAAATTTGCAATAATTAAGTACAACGCTGTTATAAAAAACAAGAGTCATAGGGAGAATATTTGAGGAAATTAAATATAAATCTACACTGATTTATAAGAATCATCATCTTGACTCACCAAACCTTTCTGCAGTTCCTCACAGCTGGAATCAATCTCTGCTGCCCCTCATATGATGATGTGTTGTACTTCATCATGTCCAACTCATCCAGAACCTCATCTGACATCTCCAGCATGCAGGCCAGAGCTGAGCAGTGGATCTCAGAGAGTTTCTTGTCTGATCTGTTCTTTGACTTAAGGAACTCTTGGATCTCTTGTTACACTGAGATGTCATTTATCTCCATCAGACAGTTGAAGATGTTGATGCTTCTGTCAGGAGACATTTTATTACAGTTCATCTCCTTCAGGTTTTTGATGACTCTCTGGATGACTCTGGGATTGTTTTCTGTCTGACATAGCAGACTTTCCAAGAGTCTCTGGTTGGACTCCAGACAGAAGCCTTGAAGAAAGCGAACAAACAGGTCCAGGTGGCCATTGTTACTTTGAAGGGATTTCTCTATGACTTTGCTCAGAAAGATATCCAGAGATGTTATATCCTTTTTTAGGAAGCCCTCCACCACCTCTGTCTTCCTATTTGTGTAACAGTGGAACATGTAGACTGCAGCAAGAAACTCCTGAATGCTCAGATGAACAAAGCAGTAGACTGGTTTCTGGAAGATCGCACACTCTCTTTCTGAGTTAACTTCAATAATTACT